GGGGCTAGCGGTACAAAAGCTAGTAACTGTGGTTGGAAAAGTAGAAGATTCCAGTATTAGCTGAGGGCAGGATAGGCTTCTCTGAAGAGCTAGTTTTACCAAGCAAATGAACAGGTGTACCTAATAAAGTGGCGGGTGGGTGTATATACACATAAAGCGCGGTGTAAATTGATGGTGCTATATAAGTACCTGTAATAAAATTTAAAAATAAATAAAATGGTTGTATATGGCTATTACCATGCATTAAATAGTGAAGCGCTCCCAAATTATCTGAAAAAAATTCCCTCTATGCAACCATAAATACCAACTGAACTTAAAAATAATCGATACCATAAGGTGATGAAAACCATATAAACTAAGTCTATTGGTGAAAAACTAGAATACATAAATACCTCTCATATATACCAATTATTAATGCCTCTTAATAAATCTGTGATGGAAAATAACGAATATAAAATTCATGATAAATACTCAAATATCAGTGATAAAATCAATTTTCATAATAATACTAATTCATAATAAAAAGATGTGACAAATCGTGATAAATTGTGACAAACCTATAAATCAAAATAAATAGTGATTCTGCAACAAAATATGTAATACATATATCCTGTGATAAACCCTATAACAGAATAAAAATAAAATAGATAGCTACTTAATTCAGTGATAAAATAAATGAACTCAGTGTCCAGAATAAACTCAAAAAGTCCATGCAAAATGTGAAAACACTCTGTGATCTTCACTTCTAGTGCTCAAAAAGGAATCCTCCAATGGCAGCAATGCCTGCTCACCTCCCCTCCTCGACCCACACAGGGCCACAAGGCAAAAAAACTCTACTCAAAGGCAATCCTTTACTCCAGGCAGCTCAGCAAGGGACCTCAGGACTTCCACTCCACCTCCTCTCAAAACGTCATATAGGACACAAACAAAAGATGTAATCCTTGTATACAGCGCTTTCCACCTCACATCATGGGTGTATTCTCATACAGGGAGGGAAACAAATATGGCCGCTGCGTCCGGACAAACGTCCCCACGTGACCGGAAGTGACGTAATCTCGAACTGGGAATGGCGTTTGATATAGAGCCCTCCACTGATTTTGGGGATGGCTTAGATTTTAGAACCCACTTCCAAGGATAGTGATAAGCTGATTCATGGCTTACAGAATGGTGGCATGCATTTGGTGTTTCTAAAACTCTTTCCTATTGTACGTGACATGGAGAGTAAGATTTAACTGCAACAATTTGAAAGAGGTAAAAAACGTTATCTGCAACCTCTTTTTGTACTTGTATTTGAAAAAACTAGTTTACAAATTTAAGTGTAAATATTTGGATTGCAGATTAATTTCCATTTTTATTACCAAATTTTGGACTAGAAAAGGATCAATGTGGTACTTTGTGCCCTGAAAAGGCATACAGGAAAGTCAGGGGACCATAGTGAAGCTAGGAAGCTAGTACGTTTGCTGATACATCATACATATTCAGCCTACTCAAGAACATGGGAAATGTGCTAGGATTTGCTGGGTTTGTTTTTTTCTGGCTATGACAAGTTAGTAGTATACTACTATATTTTTTTCAACGCTGAAAGTTCAAATTGGGTATTTTGGTATACAAAATGAATAGAACGTTTGTTGCTGTAGCTTTCTTTATTCAGGTTGTAGGGTTTTTACAATGTTCCAAAAGATTTTTAAGCTTGCCAAGCAATGAGGTTTCTCTCTGCCAAGATGAAAAGCTTCTGATGTGTTGGTGTTATGTGAATTGGGAGATATTTAGGTGTCAAAGCAATGAGAAACTAGACAGTCAATATTAAGTATGACTAGCTGACTTTGTGCTCATGGTTCATGGGCATCATTAAGTATGGCTGGAGTTTGTCACTAAAAGTACATGAAAAATGGCTTGTTATTTTGATAATGAGAATCAAAGTAAAAGAAAAATGGAAATTTGTTGCATTGATTAGGAGTTTGGGTAACAATATACATAGCTATAGGTTCAGATGTAAGGCTGATCAAAAAACAATGGTTTTTACCTGAGCGCTGGCACACATATACAGTGAGGAACAGAGGTATTTGAAATCATGGAGGGGTCTGAAACTCACATTGTAGGTGCATTCCCACTCTGAGAGACAGAATTTAAAAAAGAAATTCAGGTAATCACATTGTATGATTTTTAAAGAATTTATTTGTCTTGCACTGCTGAACATAAGTATTTGAACACCTGAGAAAATCAGTGTTAATATTTGGTACAGAAGCCTTTTTTTGCAATTACAGAGGTCAAACGTTTCCTGTAGTTCTTGATCAGATTTGCACACACTGCAACAGGGATTTTGGCCCACTCCTCCACACAGATCTCCTCTAGATTTGTCAGGTTTCAGGGCTGTTGCTGAGCAACACGGAGTTTCAGCTCCATCCAAAGATGTTCTATTGGATTTAGGTCTGGAGACTGGCTAGGCCACTTCACAACCTTGATATGCTTCTTACGAAGCCACTCCTTGGTTATCCTGGCTGTGTGCTTTGGGTCGTTGTCATGTTGGAAGACCCAGCCACAACCCATCTTCAATGCTCTGACTGAGGGAAGGAGGTTGTTGCTCAAAATCTCACAATAAATGGCCCCATTCATCCTCTCCTTAATACAGTACGGTCGCCCTGTCCCCTTCGCAGAAAAGCACCCCCAAAGCATGATGTTACCACCCCAATGCTTCACAGTAGGGATGGTGTTCTTTGGATGCAATTCATCCTTCTTTTTCCTCCATACACGACGAGTGAAGTTTAGACCAAAAAGTTCTACTTTGGCCTCATCTGACCACATGACTTTCTCCCATGCCTCCTCTGAATCATCCAGATGGTCATTGGCAAACTTCAGACGGGCCTGGACATGTGATGACTTGAGCAGGGGAACCTTCCGTGCAATGCACGATTTGAAACCATGACGGCGTAGTGTTCTACCGACAGTGACCTTTGAAACTGTGGTCCCAGCTCTCTTCATGTCATTGACCAGCTCCTCCCTTGTAGTTCTGAGCTGATTCCTCCCCTTTCTTATTATCAGTGATACCCCACGAGGTGAGATCTTGCATGGAGCCTCAGTCTGAGGGAGACTGACAGTCGTCTTTAGCCTCTTCCATTTTCTAACAATTGCTCCAACAGTTGATCTATTTTCACCAAGCTGCTTGGCAACTGCCCCGTAGCCCTTTCCAGCCTTGTGGAGGTCCACAGTTTTGTCTCTGGTGTCTTTGGCAGCTCTTTGGTCTTGCCCATGGTAGTAGTTTGTGTCTGACTGACTATAGGGTGGACAGGTGTCTTTAAAGAGCTCAGACAGGTGCTACTCTTCGAGAGCCAGAATTCTTGCTGTTTCTTAGGTGTTCAAGTACTTATGTTCAGCAGTGCAAGACAAATAAATTCTTTAAAAATCATACAATGTGATTTCCTGAATTTTTTTTTTAATTCTGTCTCTCAGAGTGGGAATGCACCTAAAATGTGAATTTCAGACCCCTCCATGATTTCTAAGTGGGAGAACTTGCAAAATCGCAGGGTGTTCAAATACTTCTGTTCCTCACTGTATGGGCCCTGTGGCACAGGATGGAATGCAGCAAACATTAAAATTGCAGTGAAGTTAACATACATAAGTCTTTTGCTAACATTTGAGTGACAATATGGAGTCTTGGGAAGTAGTTTACTTTGGGCGTATTCTGTATATAATTCTTAGAGTACTGATTATCGAAGACCCCCTCTTGCTAGTGTTGTTATAAAAGTATACTGCGTAATAGAAGTATTTCTCAGGTCAGTTGTATTATTTATGTATGATGTGGTTAATATGTGTAAACTTGGAGTTTGATAATAAAAGTCTGGTGTGCCCAATTTAAAACAGACTGAGAAGCAATCAACTAATCCCCAAATCATGTCTTTGCTTAAAGCTTCGGATAAGTTTTGCTCTCAGTGTAATAACTATTTAAATTAAACAATTTTGTTTGAATTTCTTGTTTTTGAACTGAGTACTTTCATAAAATAAGACAGTTTTTCTTGTCTGTCTGATAAAATGACCTTCTTTCACCTTATCCTTTGTAGAAATAATTACCCATTGTGAGCAGATCTGTCACATCCTCTTCTCTTATAATTTTCTTTTGAGCAGAGGTAGCACTCAATATCACCTGAGACTAAAACGAGCATCACCTAAAATGTAAATGTAAAAAACATGTAAGTGACTGAACTGATAGAAGAAGTTCAACATTCAAACACAATTCTGCATTTCTTTCCTGATAATATCATACTACTATATTAAACTGAATGTGATCAATTGTATTTGAATTCTATATTTCCCTAATATTAAATTTTAGTTCTGCTCTTTTATGGCTGATGACAGCCAAAAGTTATATATTTACCACTTGCCTGCTGGGCACTTTTACCCCCAGCTTGCCCAGGCCAATTTTCAGCTTTCAGCTATGTCGCACTTTTGAATGACAATTGTGCGGTCATGCAACACTGTACCCAAACAAAATTTTTATCTTTTTTTTTCAGACAGATAGAACTTTTTTTGGTGGTATTTAATCACCACTGGGTTTTTTATTTGTTGCTAAACTAAAGAATACTGAAAATTTAGAAAAAAAGTTATTTTTATAAGTTTCAGTTATAAAATTTTGTAAATAAGTAATTTTTTTCCTTCACTTATGTGCGCTTATGAGGCTGCAGTGATGGGCACTGATAGGCTCCACTGATGGGCATTGATAGATGGCACTGATGAGGAGGCAATGATATGCAGCACTGATGGGCCATGACAGGCATCACTGGTGGGCATTGGCAGACATCACTGATAGGCACTGAAAGGCAGCACTCATATATGGCACTGATAGTTGGCACTGATGGGCACTGATAGGCGGCACTGATTGGAACTGATAGGCAGCACTGATGGGCACTGATAGGCAGCACTGATGAACACTGATAGGCGGCACTGACTGGAACTGATAGGTGGTTGATAAACGGCCGGACGGGAGTGCTGCCGATGCAGTTGGAAGTTTCTAAACACATCCACTGCCTGTGCACGCTCCCTGGGAGTGCGCGGCACCTCGATCGGTCACAGCAGAACACAGATGGCGTATGGGACCTCTGTGTGAGGTCCTGATTTATGTGATCACTGATTGGTCAATCAGTGATCACATGAATAGTAGTAAATAAGATGTCACTTCCTGACATCATTTCTTACCACTTGTGAAATCTGTGAATGATCACAGAGGTCACATGGTACAAGGCTATTCACAACAGCCTTGTACCATGTGACAAGCTGTGACCAATCACTGCTCACACAGTATTTCTCAATGGCTGCAGGAATGCAGCCAGAGAGAAGGAGAAATGATTGCTCTTACAGCCTTTATGGTATAAAAGCAATCAGTGTAAAAAAAGAAAAAAATCTTCATCACCCCCCACAAGCAGTACAATGTCACTATGGTGACACTGTACTGCTAGAGTGACAGTATGTTAAAAAACCCCACATAAATAATAATCTAAAAAATAAAATAAAAATGTAAAAAAAAAATTAAAAATTATAATTTTTGGTTATAAACTAATTTAGGTTATTATTTTTTTTACTAAAATGATAGATGAATACATTTAGGCCAAGATTTATGAAGAAAGAATATTTATTTGCAAAATTTTATAAGAAAAACACTTTTTTTTCAACATTTTTGGAGTTTTTCATTTATATAGCAAAAAAATAAAACTCCCAGTGGTGAACAGATACCACCAAAATAAAGTTTTATCTGTCTCAAAAAAATGCTATAAAATTCATATGGGTACAGTGTTGCATGACTGCAGAATTGTCATTCAAAGTCTGATAGCACTAAAAGCTGAAAATTGGCCCGGACTGGAAGGGGTAAAAGTGTCCGGACTTGAAGTGGATGGCCTGGGGCCCATAGGCCGGTGCCTGGCACTGCTCACAACTAAATCTCTTAAAACCTTACCACGTAACTGTCAAGCTTTGAACATACCATATACCTCCCTCCTAAATTGTTCACCATTGGGTGGCTATCATTAAGTGGACATAGAAGTCAGCCACTGACCACGATGTAAAGGGCTATTACCGGGGTAAGAAGGGTTTAAAAAACTTTTGTTATAGGGACTTATTATTTATAGTTATGCTCCTACTTTGATATTCCCTTTTAATTTGTTATTATTGTTGTATTGGAACAACAACAAAGGCATGAGGCAGCGTTTTTCCGGCATTTGGCTTTGAGTAGTTACCTGCTGTTTCTCTTGGTATGACCAATTTTTGTTTTTACAATTTTTTTTGCTGATTTTTTATTTTCTTTTAGAATGACCCAAAATGTTCAAATTCTCACAAAATATGCAATTTTTTTTTTTTTGCGCTAGAGTCATGTCCTGCTCTTTCGTGGCATGACCCAGTGTTAGTTGAATGTACTAATTCCTAATAGTAGCTGGATAAGATGGAAGTGGCTTATTTCATAACTGCTTCATAGATAACAGATGACCACCATGTTTTACAGGGTCAGCAGGAAGGTCAACTGCATTAAATTGGTCAACTTTACAATACCCTTGTTTCCCCAGCCTGCCCTCTGGCTATAGTCTGCATTCTCACCAAAAAAAAAAAAAATTAAAACCTCATAAAATGTTAATTTGTTTTTATTTTACCTACTTTCAATGTAGCTATTTAACAATCTTGGAGTACATTTTTAGTTTTTTTTTTACTTCATCCTCTCTGGTCTACAGCAGCATTACATCAATGGTATATACAATATGTACTCCCTCAATTTTGCTCCAAATAAAAAGGAAAGGGAGTCACAGAAACAAGGAAGGTTGCAAGTCTATAGTGAGGACCTGCAGTTAAGGGATGTAACCCATAACAACCAGATATGAACTTCTGTCAGTTATAAATACACTAACTAAAGCTATCTAAGCTACTAAAGCTATATAAAGCTACTAAAACTACACTGTGGTTGGGTAGTAAGGTTAATCATATATCTGTAAACTATACAACTAAAAAAACTTTAATAAACAGCTTCTCTAAGGTTACAAAATAGATAACATCTATGTCATATGTTATACTGGCAATAATACTATTCTTTCATGTTAATGGATTCCAAAAAGAAAGCTTCCATTCCATATAACATAATTCTCTTGAATATATATTCTTTGAAAGGGGAAAGAATGGTATTCATAAAGCTTCTTGACAAAAACGGTTATCATTATAGATATTACAGGAGAAATTTAAATAAGAATTGATCTTCACAATCACATCTTGTTTGTATGTGGTCATTAATATTAATTTGCATTTTATATATTTTGAAGGTAGTCATTTGAACATTTCTTTTTTTCTTTGAGCTTTAAAAGCTTCTGTGTGTTTCAGAATTTCTTATTTAGCCTCATCAAGGCACATGAATAAAAAATCTCTCAAACTGTCTATTCAAATAAGATGTTAGCAAGGAAAAAGTGCTGGATATGATTAAAATTGACTTGCAAATAATTTAACAGAAATAAGTTGGAGCTGAACCACAGATATGACCTTTTTGCAAAAGTTGTTGTTACACCTTAAAGTAAAACTCCTTTTCCTTGAATAAGGTGGGGAGCATGCTCTGTTCATAAAGGTAAGCACAATCAGATTTTTTAAATAAGTACGTAAAACATGGATGTTTGGAAAATTAGTGATATTTTATTTGTTGCTTAGGGATGCGCTTACGATTTGGACCATACCTTGATTGTTCGGGTGTTCAAATAAACATCAAGTATAATAGAAGTATCACAATGTTATTATACATGACAGCTTCCGGCTGTCAATGGTTGTTAAGGATGCTAACTGAGTCCTTAAAGTGTTACTAAACCCACAATAGTAAAATTAGTCTGTATATGCCGTAAAGCATGCTTGTTATACTCACTGTGGAACCTAAAGGGTTGAACCCTCCACGTTGCTAAAAAAAAAGTCTGTTTGATCCTGTCTTCTCTTATCTTTCCTTTCTTCTACTGTCCCCAATCCATCTTCTGATAGTACAGAGCCCTAGGAGTCACTCTGCACATTTGCAGTTTAGTGTGTACGGCTAGAGAGTGTTGTTTTTTTCTTTGGGAGAGTGCATGTGATCAGCACAGGACCATCAGCACTACCCAGACAGAGGGTCAGGGATTATGCAGCCTCATAGGACAGTCAGAGCAAAATGAAAACTTCTCCTACAAGCTTTAACCAGTGCTTAGCTGGACACTGATAGAAGTCACAAGACTGCTATATACTGCTGATGAGAAAAGGTATTTAGCAATTTATATTTACTAAAATAGTTGCATTTCCATGTTGTGTACTGTGGGAGACCAGATATAGTGAATGCATGGTTATGGGTTTAGTAACACTTTAAGAACCAGTGACACAACTGGCCCCATTCACATTTTGTTGGCAATTTAAATACACCTTTAAAGATGTGCCACATTACAGGCAAGGTCAGGGCATCATGAGTTACTTTCCCACGCTTTTCACACATACAGCAGCCTATTGATTTCAATGCAAGTCATGTAAAAAACCACATAAAAAACACATTTCAAATCACTCAATGTGAATGAGGTCTACCTGGTTTAGCTAATCTAGAACTGCTGGTGAGAGCAGTGTGTGTGGTCCGTTGAAGTCTGTACACCCATCTACTGGGGACTGAAGAACAGAGTTGTAAGTTTCTTACACTATGATCCAAGATGTTACTACCCACAAGCTTGTGTGTGCTGTTTTCAGTTGTTTCCTGTGTCTGGATTGGAAAATTATAGGTTTTTCATATTAATTTACCAGTATGCTTTCCAAGTGATGGACAGAAGTATCTTGTGCATTGCCTGGCATCCCTTATCTCTGTCTCCTTTATCCCCCTATTTTGTGAGAGATGGTAGAGACAGTGAGGTTTTAGAGCAGTTAGTGCAAGGATTAATTGCCTAATCCAGACATTAAGGACTGAAATTCCTTGTGAAGAGCAATTAATCATCAAAAGCTGCTTAATGCATATTTTATTTAGGACATACTTGGACACATATGTAAAGATATTGCTGGTAACACAATCACTTCTTCGTAGACAGTCTTTATTAGTACAATATAGACAGTATTACACAGACACAGTAGATGACAGACATGATAGGATTCATAAAACTGACACGTTTCAGCCAAAGACTTCCTCAAAACCTTTGAGGAAGGCTTTGGCCGAAATGCATCAGTTTTATGGATTATATCATGTCCATGTTGTATTAATAAAGACTGTCTATGAAGAAGTGATTGTGTTGCCGGCAATATCTTTACATATACTTCATTGAGCGTCCCAGCCTGAGCACCGGTCTCCCACTCCCATTTCACTAATCTAGCTGTAGAGCTTGGGTGAGTCATTTGGATTGCATACTTGGCAACAGTTGTTTCTTTCCCCACCTGTTATCCAGGGACACTGTGGGTCAGTAAGGCTCTGTTAATGGCATCCCAAATATGGCAAGCAAAAACACATTTTGCCATGTGCAAAAATGAGCAACAAACATGATAAAATGTATATGATAAAAAAAAAAGTGCAAACTAGTACAGGGACATAAACACTTCATGAGCTACTTTGCCCTGTTTTTTTGCATGTAGGGCAGCCAATTGAAATCAACAGGCTGCCCCAACCATATCATGTGAAAAACGTGCAAAAAAGTGTGAAAAAAAACACTTGTTTCAAATTGCTAGGTGTGAATGCAGCCTAAGTTTGCCAAGTGGCAAGGATTTATTTTCTGGTTTTACAGTTTCATTACTGTACATTGTATCCAGAGGATCTAGATAAAATTTGCACTTAGTGTGGTTGATTTACTGAAACTGGAGCACTCAAAATTTGCTGCAGCTGTGCATGGTAGCCAATCAGCTTCTAACTTCAGCTTGTTCAATTAAAAGAGTATGTTTTGTTTTTTGTTTTGTTTTTTTAAATCATACTTACCTAGGTAGATGCAGCATCAGTTTGCTGGCTCTAAGGGTGAGAACTGAGTGATCAGGCACCACTGATCAGTTCACCCTGACTCAGTTCACCCTGACTGTCAGCCACCACTCTCTGCTCTGCCCCCTCCAGTGATCACTGGAGCTCG